AGGTGGATGCTGGTGGATGCTGTTCATTCGTGCAAGGAGTTCTGCCTTAAGATGCTTATTTTTGAGCGTGTCAATGCATCGTGCTCCAGGACAAACAATCGCGGCAGTGGGCCGAGTGAGACTTAATCTAGAGCAGCGAGGAGACACTCCTTTGCTGCCGGGGCTTTTGGGGGTGTTACCACACCACACTTACAGGGTTGAGAAAAGGATTGAGCCTGTACTTATTCGCAGTGCATCCAATCTGTGCCAGGCGTTGTTTTCTTTTTCCCATTCATGCCTTGTAGACTTGCATAGGGTGGCCCAAGCAAGCATGGCGCTCATCGGCCTGAAGGCGGCCGTAGCGAGGCTGGTGGCCTCGCATCCTACAAGGTGCCTTCATTAAAACCTACTTGTAGGTAACAATTTGGTAGCCAATATTTTTGAACATAACGTGTCAGGAATGATGGTGGAAACAAAAAGGTCAAGAAGAATCACGTACTGAAGAGGCCTGTCAACAGTCAAAATAAGCAGCTCTGCTCTTCAGCTAGTGAGTTGCCAGGAAGAAGTGCCCCAAGAACACTTTGTTTACTGTTTCGGAGAATCACCCAAAGGGCTACACCACCGTCAATGCCTGCTACTCCTGGCCAACCAATTTTCTACGAAGTCTTTCTATGCGGTATGGCCAGCCATGGCTTTGCAAACGTCTTGAGGCTTGGAGGCGGACCTGCTCTACTTGCTTCTCTGGTGTAGGTGCGCCGGAATCAGTCCAAAACTCAATCAGTCAGTAAAGCGAGGCCTTGATATATATTTATACCCACCAATCAACTTTGAGGCCTTGCAGTCATTGTCCTCAGCAGCCACCAAGTTCCTGCAGCAATGCAACCACAAGCCAGGGGTTCGGGAGAAGGTGCTACATGAGTTCACTTGTGAGATTGAACGACCCTGCCAAGAAGTGCTTTGCAAAACTTACGGCAACCTTTGCGACCGGCCAAATATTACCAAGTTTGATGCTAAAAAGGAAACTGCTTTCTGTAGCACACATGGATGCCTGCCCGGTACGCAAACATCGTCTTAAGAAGAGACCCTTTGTTGCAAACAGGTTTGAATTTGATGTTTGGAACATTATATACCAGGCTTCAAACCCTTGGTTCAATGTAAAACCAAACAACAGCCCAGGAATCAAGATCAACGTGGCAGGTCTTGCCCTTATCTCATCGAGGCCACCCCGTTTATTTTTGAACTTGAAGTCATCCTCTTCCGTGTGAGGCCCAGTGTGTACCAGCTTCAGCCGCATGGGCAAAGGCAAAGGCGTATCGGATGATGTTTTTGCTACTCATGAAGCATACTATGATGCTTCATCGCTGTGGGATGCAATGATCATTGAAAATGTACCGGAGTACCCTCCAAGCATCCCACTCGGGCGGTTGGGTCCTGGATGGGCTGCACAACACTGCATTTTGGACCCAAGAATCTTCGGCATACCTGCATCGCGGTCCAGGTTTTACATGATTGCATACCGCACTTAGTTGGCGACCAGACGTGTCTTTGGAGGAAACAGTAGGTTGCTTGGCTCCGCAGAACATTGGTTCAGCAGGGATGTTTTGGTGGGATGAAGGACTACCAAAATCTCAGCTGACCCCAGCCCTAGCACTTTGACTTCAATTCTGTTTGAATTTCAATTCACAGCAATAATACATAATAGTCCTTGCGAGTCCTTCCACAAATGTTCAATACTTAGATATACTTAGGCACAGAACTTGGCGGAGTACCCAGAGGACACCCACCAATGTCCTGATTTGCTGCAATATGCACGCAACGGGCGTGCAAGAGGCGCTTGCAAAGATGGATCTCTTCAAACACTAACCACAAACTCTGCCAGGATATATTCAAAGGACAACGGTTCTAAAATGTTTGATTGTCCTTTAGTGTTCAGCAACTTGTTCAGTCAGTGACTGTTCATTTACTTTTGGTGTGAGGATCACGGCAGGTTCCTGTCTGGCCACGAAATGCTCTCCTCTCTCGTGCTTCCTGTAACCGAAAAGCAGGGTCGCAAATGTGGCGCACCACGCCTTCGCATCGAGAACGTGAAGCGGGACAAGGCAGCCTGGATGGCCGGAAACTCAATGTCAGTTCCTTGTGTGGCTGCCATTTTGACAGTCGCTATCCTTGCGCTGGAGTGCAAGGAGTAGTATAACAATCATGCTTGCACCTTCTAGCAATTAGACCTTAGAATGTACTTTGTGATCTACCGGAATTCATTTGGCCGTCAAAAAGGTTGACCGACTGTGTCCGACCGTGCAAGTTCAACCTGAGAGTCACATGAACTTTTGACCATTTTTGAACCCTTCGCAGTGAGATCTGGCTGGACTCAGTTGGGGCTGGGTTCTTCTTAGTCATGGGAGCTAAGAGGGCCGCTGGTGGACCGACCAGCTGCGCAAAGTCATTGAAGCCATCCCGACCATGGGCTGAGTATGTATGGGAATATGCTCTGAGACTAGTCTGAGCAGTAGGCTATGTATGCCTCCAAGTTTTCATGTTTTGAGGGGATAGCTTCTCTCTTCAAACAGCTACCTAAGGAATACAAACATCGTGGATGGTGCTCACCCTGTGGAGGAAATGGCCAAGGGGCTTCGGGTAGATCAGTATGAGCCTGTGCAAACATGGCTTATGGGACACGATTCTTGCATTGCTCCCTGCGACTCTTATTCATTGCCTGCTCCGCAGCTAAAACATTCTAGAACCACTTGCCACCTTTTAAAATAATACCTGTTTATGAACGAGCGCAATTGGTATCTCCCAAGGCTGCTAGCGATGACCTGACAGTCTTCCCCGTTGGCCATCCGGTACGATCGACCGGCGGAAGGCCTCCCGCTCAAGAACCTCAAGGACATAGTCTTCCAGGGCTATGAAAGTCACAGAGAAATAATTGAAGTCAAGGTGCTGCATGAACCCTATACTGCAGGGAGCAAGGCTTCCTTTGGATGCCTCACTGCGACAAAGGGGAAGGGCCGGCTGTCCATCATTCTGTGGGCCATCTATTTCAGCTACACCAACCTCCGTGACACGATCGAGTCGGTTGAAGAGTTCCGATTGGACTTTCTCAGGCGGCAAGCTTTTACAACTCAATGATCAATAATGCAACTCAATATTTCAACTTCTAATTTTGATATTTCAACTATAAAAAGGGTCGCCTTTTGGGAACCAAAAAATCCAGTCCAGCCAGGGTGATGGTTCCACTGAAACCGTCGTCCTGGGACGTCCTGGAACGGGCGGGGATCTGGGAGTTGAAATATCTCCAGGCCATGTTGAAATATTGATTGAGTATAGTCCAGGGCAATGATTACATCCCCCATCTAGCGCACAGGTCTGTTGTAATATTGAATGATATCCTGGGGCCACAAAACCATCAGCCCTAGGGTGATGGTTCCACTGAAACCATCGTCCTAGAAAATCTTGAAATTTGAGATTTCTAGGGTGACCCTTTTTATCTAACTAAGGGTCCCCCCAGTCAAATCACAAGGTGAGGGTTCCAATGAAACCATTGTCTTTCAGGGTGAAGGATCCAATGAAACCATTGTCTTTCAGGTTGAAGGGTCCAATGAAACCATTGTCTTTCAGGGTGTTCCGGCAACTTTGGACTTTGGACCCCAGGGGACTTTGGACTTTGGACCCAGGGGTCCCAGTATGTTTTCAGGGTTCGGTGCGCCAGGTGGCTGGCAACAATCAGAAAGATCGTGTGCCGGGTTGTGTCAGCTCCGGATGCGGATTGTATGTGGCGACGTCTTCAAGCGCACGAGCAACAAGCGCAAAGGGAACGCAAAAGTGTTCTTCAGAAGATGCTTACCTTCACAACGAGGGCCAACCAACTGTGTTTGGAGGACATTTAGGGCAATCATGGTAAGGGGGCAGTAGAAGCACTGAAACATGTTTGACCACTCGTTGCTCGTGTTTGGCTTTCAATGGCCATCATCCTTCGAGTTATCTTCAATTCCTCTCCCCATTCTCGAGGACCCTGCAAAGTACCATGGCAACTTCAAGCAGGCTTTCTTGGACGCTACTGCAGAGTTCAACTCCTTTGGGGCGAGCCTCTATAACTCCAAGCTCTGCATTGATGACAGCACAGCTCTCTTTGTGTATGGCCTCCATGTAGCTAGGCTAAATTCAGTACCAGGGCCTTCAAGAAAAAGGTGACCGGCGTGTCAAATCATCCCAAATCATACCCTCCATTTTCACCCCATAGGCTGAGCTTCCCTGACTTGCAGGTCGGTCTATCTGAAGAGTCGCTGCAGCTCATCCAGACTCACCTCCACATGTACCGGTGGGAGCAGTCAGGCAGGTATCTCCAAATCCGACCCAGTTTGTTTGTTCGCTTACTTTTTTGTATGTGTGGCACTTATCCTACAGGTTTCTAGAATAAAGCCAGGAAACTATTTTATCATTATTTGTTATAACAACGTGTCAAACCTTTTAGCCTCGGCCCCTGCAGCCTTCAACAATGCCATCATGTTCAACTCCCGGTGGCTGTTGGGCGGGCAGTCACTGGACGCAAATGTGCGATCCAGTCATTTTTGGACAAACGTCCTCAGTGTCAACGAGAACAACCAATGGCTGTTCTTGCGGCGGATCATGTACTTGCGCGACATTTGCTTCCGCCGCTCTGGCAAATCGACAGTGACACGACTCACCGTTCAAGAGTGGGACGTTGAGATGGACAAAATGGCACTGGGCACTTACATCCTGAACTCCTTGGAGTGTATGTCGGACGATGATGGCAACAAGGTTTTCACGGAATCGGATACGAGCAAGATTGTGAGCCGGCTGGTAGAAGGGAATCCTAACTGAGTTGAGTTGACAGTGATTTATTGTTTTTACTTTACCTTGACTTTTGCTGCACCAATGATAGCTGGCACTTAGATTCTTAGATGATGATCTTACATGTGCCATGACCTAGGGACTTTCACACTGAGTTTGATCGATTCCTTGTCTGCCTGGACGATACCTTCGATTTCAAGAGCTCAGCGATGTTCACCGAGCATGCTCCTGAGAAGCCAACATCCGCCGACGTTATTGAAGAGAAGATCAAGGGAGTTGATGAACATGTGGGGTCCCTAACGAGGGACGCAAGAAAAGCTCAGTGGGAGATCGACTCCCTGTCCCTTGCAAGGGACCTAGCTCAAATAGGCAAGCTCCTCGACTTGACGGTCCAGAATGAACACAGCAAACGGACGGAGCGGATCCTGCACCTGAGGAACCAGAATACCATAGGAGCCAGTCTAGTGGCTGACTGGATGTCTACAAACCTGGCTGTGCATTCAGGGCCTATGAAGGACCAAGTCAACCTCGTTGATCGGGCGCGGGGATTCCAAAAGTTTATGCAACATGTAGCGGTTCAGGCATGTGTTAAATTATGTTAAAATCAATTAAAACCATGAAAGCAATGTTGTACCCGGAATCCCTGCAGTTCATGGTGCGCAGCCCTGGAAGTCCAGCAATCATTTGGGTCGATCTCATGAAAGCTGGGCGCCTCACAGGCGGTGATGTGTCGGACTACGTGGACCTGATTGGAGTGGCTTTGCAAAAAGCTGGCAAGATGGGCTGCGCCATCGTGGTGTCTCCCTTTTTGTCTTCTGAGAAGATCCCAAACAGGGGGTCACAGGGGTGAGCTGAGGACAGAAGATCGTTATGCTGCTCCAAACAGTTTTCGAACAAAATTTAAAACAATTATCGTACAAATTTCAATAAACTTCATACTACATATGTGTGTGTGTGTTTCTGAGAAGAAAACTGACCTGTGAGGAGGCTGGAAGCCAAGTTTGATGCGAAATCAATCTGGTCAGAGGCAATCACAGTTCGGTGCTCGCAACCACCATCACAGCGCAAAGTACCAATTCAATTTGACGGTTGGGTCCTTCTCGCTGAAAGCAGCCGGGACGAGAACATATTCAGGAGCTGCCAATTGATTCAAGACAGGCCCTGGTTAGTTCGGAGAGCAAACATATCAATTTATTTTTACATATGTTTGGGGATGAGATCAGTATTGAATAGAAGACCAAAAGCAATCAGTGTTCATCCGATTCTTTCACCCTGCCTTCAGGTCCAACAGACACGAGGTCGCCTGGCAGGCGGAAGCAAATTACATAGTTCCAGTTGCCAGCAAGGATACGGTACCACATGCATCGGAAGGAATGAGGCCCCTTGGATCTATTTGTCGTTTTACCATGGCAATGGGTACATGATGTTTTCTGTCTAAATTGAAAGGCAACAAAGCACCCTCATGTGCGTCACAGGTCGTTAAGCGATGTGCAAGAGACTGCGCAATTCTTGGCTGGCGAAGATCTCCCTCGCATTCTGTTGAAAAGCGTGCTGCAGAAGAGTGAACTCCCCGACACATGTCAGTCTGTGAGTATGATCAATTTGACTGGCTACGATGGATGGCTTGAGAAGGTGTGCAGGCGGTGGCGGGAGCGGGAGACCCCCCAACTTTCCATGAAAGTCTTGACCCTTGCAAAGAATCTGGCCACGGCAGAGTTTGTGGAGAAATCCCTAGCCCTGGAACTGATGGAGGACATGATGGTTTCAAATCCAGGGTCAAATCCAGTTTTCGTAACAAATGAATGGGTCTCCAGGTTCAGTAAAAGTACCATTCATTCCCATTCAATTGTTTTGTCATGCCTTGTCCGTAGCTAGGAGTAGAAAGCTGTGAATCACTCATCCCTGGGCGCAGTGCGGCGCTATGAGCCAAAGCCCCCTGTGTCACCAGAGAGTGATGTTGACTTGGCCAACTTCCCCCTACAGTTGGTCAAAGTGGAATACAACATGGATTCGAAGTTGAAAGGAGTCGAGAAATATCGAATCACCATACCACCAAACATCAGAGCTCGCTACATCGACGACGCAGTATACTCAACCGAGTGGCAGAACCTGATGGAAGACTTTGACAAGAAGTCTCTTTGCACTAAAAGATCAAAAGTAGGTTGACACCCACACGATGGTTCAAATGGTTCATACCCAAATCCCAACCCTTCAGTGATCCCCTTTCACTCCATCTCCATCGCCAAGGTTTGGCCGTGGAGCGCCTCGTGAAGAACCAAGACTTGCACTGGTGCCGTCGGTCGAAGAGACTCCTGCAGCCGTTCAGCCGTGGGACGGGCCACAAACACTGGAAGAACTCGTCGACAAATACATCATCGAGTCGAAGTTCGCAGGAAGGTCTCCAAGTACGACTTTGTACTTGACACACGCCAAAGACAGGGCTGGCCAAATTCATCAAGCAGAAGAAGGACAACGGTTTAAGCTATTTCTTGTTACCTGGCAGGTCTGAATAAGACTCCATGGACAACTGAAACACGACTTGAAAAAGATTCAAGCTTCACCCTTTTCATTCCCTCTCCATCTCTTACATGAGGTTGCTCATAGCGCGGTCCAGCTGACCACTTTGGAATACCAGATAGCGCATGGCGGTTCAAAGTTTGTCAACGCACAGAAGGTTCAAACTTGGAAACGGGAGGAGAGAACCAGCACTCCTGCCACGCTTTGATAGCTGTCAATCACTTCTACTCCGTTTTGTTGAAGCTGTCACCTTCAATTCATTCACTTAGTACAGAGAAGCAACTGGCTCAAAAAAAGGCACGAGTTTGTAGACCAAAAATCAAGTCGGAATGTCTTCGCCCCTAGAGAAGCTTTTGGCATCTCATGGATTTGGCAAGGACAGTGGTTTGATGTGTGTATGTGCTAGTCTGCTAGCTAGCGCTAGCTGGTCAGTTACATGTCCTCGCACTTCTGAAAGGATTTTGATCAACTACTGGCTAAAAGCCCGGGCACTGCTGAAACACCCCCTACTCGAATGGCTAGGCCCTCAGTTAAGTACAACTATTAAAGCCTGTCAATTTCTCAGCGGCCAAGGCCTTCCGAAGCCCAACCACAGGCTCCAAGACTTCAGACCCAGCTTCAAGAAGCGTGGAGAGTGGTTTGGTTCCGTGTAAGATGATGCAAAACGACACCCAGGAGACTCAAGAATCAGAGACTCAGGAATCTGTCGTGACAGAGTCCATGAATATCACTGACAACAAGGATGACGCTGACAAGAAGACAGGTGGTGGCACAACTCTGGGGGTCGACGCAAGCAAAGACGAACCAAAGACAGGTGTGGAACAATATTCAGAAGAAGAAGAGGAAGAGGAAGATGAAAAAAAGACGAGGAAAAGGATGAAAAAAAAACGAGGAAAAGGATGAAAAAAAGACGAGGAAAAGGAAGCAGAAGTCAAGGCAGAAGGGAAGGCGTGCAACTTGCCCAAACAAGAAGAGGGAAAGGAAGCAGAAGTCAAGGTAGAATTGCCCAAGGTGCCCATGACAGTTGCTGCATGCACTGGTGCAAACAACCCAAACATGAGTGCAGAGAGGCTACAAAAGCTTCAAGCTTCTTTGGAAGAAGCAAAGGTTGAAGCAAAACAACAAAAGAAAGCCACGGCAAAAGCAGCTGGGAAAGCTAAAGCTAAAGCGAAAGGAAAGGCAAAGGCCGAAGCAAAGAAGAAGCAAAAGCCGGCTGCCGAGGAGAAAAAGGACAATGAACTGGACAGCGAAGAGCCGTTGTCTGAGGATTATGAAGATCTTCCGCCTCCATCAGAAGAAGAGAAAGAAGACCAAACAAAGGCATCGGCGTTGGAGAAGCCACAGGATGAACAGAAGCAGAAAACACGCAAACCGGCTCTGAAGAAAATTGTGTCGACCAACAAAGATCAGGAGAAGAAGGCAAAGGAGCCAAAGAACAAGAACCAGGAGCACATTCCTGAGGATCCAGCGCAAATGAGAGCGAGGGCTTTTGGGCTGATCACAGATGAGAAGAAGAAACCAGGTAAGACTGATGGAGCAACTAGAGGTTCAAAACGGGCCGTCCAGTTTGTGGAGGAAGAGATGAAGGAAAATGAGGAGCAGAATGAGGACAGCAAGGTTGCTGCCAAAGATCAGAGGAAGCAAAGGGGGAGACCAGCAAAGGTGCTGAAGCAGGCCAAAAACACAAGTGAGGCTGGTAACAAGGATCCAGCAAACAAGGAGGCAAGTGAGAGTGGAAAGAACAATGCAAAGAACAAGAACGCAAGTGCAAGTGAGGCTGGAAAGAATGCAGAAAACAAGGACGCAAGTGCAAGTGAGGCTGGACAGAATGATGCAGAAAGCAAGGAAAGCGAGACCGCAAAGCAGGATTCAATGAACAAGAAGCCAAGTGAGGCTGGAAAGAATGATGCAGAAGACCAGGACGCAAATGAGGCTGCAAAGCTTGCAGCAAAGGCCGGGCAAAATCAAAGGGAAGGGCAAGGAAAAGAGAGGAAACACAAGCAAGCAAAGAGGGAAGATGGATGTCAGGGTGCGGAGACAGCACAGAATGGGGCAAAGCCAAAAGCCAGTCGCGCGAAAAAGGCACGAAAGAATGAGGATCAGGCAAATGATAGCAAAGAGCGTGAGGAAACCTCAGCCAACGGTGAAGACAAGGAGGAGGAGCATGGTGATGTCCATCTGGGAAAGGCGCACGAGTTTCGGCGCATAGAATTGAATAAACGCATAAACACATGACTTTGTTAGTTGTCCGATGTTTTGGTTGTCGTTTAGTTGTCCGACGTCGTCCGTTTAGTTGTCCATGTCAATGTTGTTTAGTTGCCCGATGTGGTGAAATGGCTGTCCCACTAATCCTTCATTTGGCCAGGGGAAAGGTGGTGCTCTTGGCCGGGCCGGCCTTAGAGATGTGTTTTGGAAGCACATTGCTGAAGCCCAAAGCCGTTTGCAGAGTGAGAAGCCAGACCTAAGCAAGAAGGAAGTTCTGAAGATGGCGCGTGAAGAGTTCTTTCCCAAGTCAATGGTTCTGTTCTGTTCAGTTCATCTGTTACATCTGAGTTTGGGATCCTATACTGTACCGCCGTTCCAAGGTGGAAGAACCACCCGGAGCGAGTCAACAGCATGAAGAACCTGACCCATAGTGAGCTAGTTCGTCGTAGGTTGGTTCCTACTCACAAATCCCAGTCAAGTGCCGCTGGGGGAAGCGTTTCTCAGGAGGCAGTCGCGAAGGGTGACTGCGAGTAGATTGGGGGTGTACATGGCATTCGCCACCTCTGTTATGAGCCACGAGTCATGAGATTGTTCTCCCTTTTCCATGTCAATAGTTATAGCAATGAATTGCATTTGAATGACTACTGACCAAGAAGTGTTCTTTGTTTGAGGGTGCCATGACTAGACATGTTTCAAACGCCGGGCAAGATGCCTCAGGGGGCCGGGTGTCTTTACCCTGGCACCATAGATCAAATTAGTTACCTCGGGATCAGGATGGTGCAAAACACTTTTACTCCGAGAGCTTGCAAGTTCTTTTCTTTCACACTTAGTTTCACTTTTCTTGCCACATGCTGACCAGTTCCTTCTGCCAGGTGAGCTTTCACGGGTTTTCGGAGTGGAATGGACCACGGACTCATGTCATGTGGTTTTGGAGGTGCCAGATGCAAATTCAAAAAGCACTTCGGACAGCCAAAGGTGCAGTTCGAACCAGTTGTTTCAAGAACTCGAAGACAGCGGCGTTACCGACTACAGCATGAATTGTCACGATATCGTGCATTCCACCGTCCGCGACAGTGCAACAGGCAATGGTAGGGTCAGTGGAAACTACTATGCCATGTCAAGGTACGTCAGCGCTAAGAAGCTATTCGTCAAGCTGTTGGGAGGCCCACCAGTCTACCAGATCCGCCCGAAGCCTGTGATTATGTACTACCAGCACACCTTGGTCACCAGGAACTTTAAATACACGAATTGTGCGTCCGCGTTCTCCGTCAAGGCTCCTCGTCACTGCCATGCCATTCGGGTCCATTCGGCATGGCTGCAACAAAATGTGGAGATGAAAACACGTATCACCTACTGGTTGGAGTTGGAACCCAATCTAAGGAACTTGAGGCCAGCCGATCTCTTGTGAAGGTTTGGCGCGTGGCTTTCAACGAGGCAAGTGGAGAACCTTGGAACTAGGAGTTGTGATTCATGTTAGAAACATGTGATTCATACCACCGATAAGAATAGGAATCACGTCAATGTTCAGCAACTGTCTTATCTCTACAATGAAGTAAGCCAAGGAGATTTCACCAAGAAACTTGGCGGCTTTAAGTTTACAGTGAATGATAAGTGAATTGCCTATTATGCATTCCTATCTCTTCTTTTCACTGCGTGCTTCCCTGAACTTCCCTGCCAATTGCGAGGAAAACCATTGTATTTTCTGAGATCCGATGTTGATTTGAGCCCGGGCCAAGTGCTCCGCATTTTGTAGGCCATTGTCATGAGATGACATGAGCCTCCGTGCTTTGAAGGCCATCGAAAAGAGCCTGAATTTTGAACCCCAACGTCGGACGATCGCGAGTGGAAGAAATGTGATCCTGCATGCAGCCATTGGCCGCACTCCTCCCACCGTCCACCATAGAGGGTTGTGTTCATGAGGCTCCGAGAAACTTCACTCATGTTTGACTCCAACATCTCAACCTGAATGGCTTTAAATTACTCCTGAATAGCAGTAAATTTCCTTAAAATGGGTTTACCATCCTTTCCCTGGGAGGGTGTGCACAAATACGATGGGCTTTGGGAGGTGAAAATGTTTATAAAATGTGTTTACGCAGGTCTTTATGTATGTCTCGTATAGCATGTCATACGACCATCTCCTGAAGCCCTTTCTG